AAATGGTTTATTTACTTTTGAGTTCTGACTTTTTCAAAAATTTCTACAAATAAAACAAAATCATGGAAAAACGTCACGGAATTACATACGCAGGTAGAGTTAGCTGGCCAGGCCGATAATTATTGCAGAGTAAGCGTGGAAGTATATAAGTACCGTGAATTAAATAGAAAATAACCTTTAATTTATCGAGAACCGAATTCATTTATAATTTTTGTTTCCCATTGAAAACAGATAGTTTCTCTTAGAATTAGTCATACCTTAGAAAAGACAAGGTCCTGTCTCAAATATTTCAATAAATTATAACAAATATTGGTACTCACTAGAATAAGCATGATACCATTTACGTTTTCTTTTGATTGTTGGAACTGAATAATTGTAATATAATAAACTTTCCATGATAAACTTTCGGTATACCTGCCGGTAACCGTCGATATTTACCGGTATTAAGCACATGGGAACCAGAGCCTGTAACGAATCAAGAAATCTCGATTCGATTCCGAATAACATTTTCAAATTCTGAATCGATTCGATTCGATTCGGGCCAGTTCAATGAAACCTAAAGTTTGCTTCTCTTTTTTTTCCAAACGTTTGTTTAAAACATAAGCGCCTCGAGTTGCAACACTTGAGAATGATAAGTCTTTGAAGTTGATGGAATAAAAATATTTTCTTTTCCTCCTGCTCATTTACCACCACAGCATACAGTTATTCTGAAATGGGTATCACTATCATGTACAAGAGATGATATTGAGAGCGAACTGAAAATTAAATTTGAATCTATTTATTCGGTGGAAGGCATGAACGGCACAAAAAACGACAGAACGAGACATGTAAAAGTGGAAATTCTAAGTAAAGTGAATTATATTGACAGACACAGATAACAGCATATAAATTGTATATGAATTGTGTGTAGTATATAACAGTAAATTATTGCATATCATACAGTATTATTCTTCAAAATACTCGTTATAATGTCAATAAGAAGTGAAAAAATGAAAGAAGCTCAAAAACATATGAATAAATTCGCTGAATCAAAATTTTGCTGGTCTGAATATGTTCAAAATATTTTGATGATGATATCTTCGATGTAACCTTTTTCTTTAGAATCAGAACAGATGAGGAAAAAATTAAGAGAACAAGTTTACCAGCAACATCAGGATCCGATTGGATTTCATTAATGCTAGACCACTACAGCATTAAATTTGTGAACAAAACAACACTTGAAGATTTTGCATCTGAAATTGTAAAATATGGCTTATCGAGTATATGTTAAAACTTACTTTTTTTCAAATCGAGCAAAATGAAAATGCTCTCTGTAATATTCCCTTTTCTTCGTCTATTTTTAGCACGTGCAAAAACGCTAATAGGTTATTGTGGAACTATCAGTATATTGGAAATTTCTAGAAATGAACATGTCAAAAAAAGCCATGAAGATCAGCATTTATTTAAATTATTATGTTTAATTAAGAATGAGTATCCAAATTTAGAAAGTGTTGATGATTTAATGATTGCTTTACTTGGGTATCTGGGCTTCAATGATAATAATTTATTAGTAATGTTAGTAATGTGAGTATACAATTGAATTTTTTTAATCGCAAAAATTTCAACGTTCAAGCTCAAAGCTTGTACCAGAGGAATTGATCTCCATTCTCATTGATGTATATCACCTATGCATTATTACGTGCATATGAGCTGTTTTTTTTCTTTGTACTTATGGAATTCGAATTCTCAAAACGTATTCTAGACTTTTTTCTTTCGCAAGGGCAATAATTTCAGTAAAAAACTAAGAGCAACAGCTGCTACTAGATATGCCATGTGTAATTGAATAAAATATATATTTAATTAAAATGAGCATAAAAATAGGTTACATATATAAAACTCAAAATTTAAAATTTCATTATCAAGAAAAAATAACAATATATAGACGAGAAACATGTTTCTAGTGCGCTGGAAATACACTAGTATGGCTATAAAAGAGTTAGTTGTACATATAGAGAAGATATATTTTCACTTCTTTCGTTTTGTGATGTTAAGGAGGAAGAAAAGTATAGAAAATATTCTTTTTGTTTCTAAGTTAGTATGTGAAAGAATGACTGGTAAATTCAAGCACATATAAGAAATATATTTATTGATATACTGTAAAAAGATGATTGGAGAAGCGTGGAACGGACTATCGATTAGGATTTGGAACTAGATTTTTAGACAACCCTTCAGGAAAGATAATAAGAGGAACGGAATAGGTAGTACAGTTCATTTTGTAAGCTTAAATGACTAAAGATTCCTTTATTAAAAGACAATATGAATTATCCGTCTGACAACTGCCGGTAAATGGAAAAGCCAAAAAACAGCTAGTTAACTGTGTGGTTAACGGCCCATTTACAGACAGTTAGCTGGTTGTTTTTCGGTCTTACCGTTTGCTGCCCGCTTAAAAACGACCAATAAATCAGACAGTTTTTAGATGGTTTTTAGACAGTTAACAGATTGTAAACTGGCAGTTTTTAGATCATTCCTTTTCTGTGGTAGTGTGTGGCCATGCGCTCGCTATACTTCTGGGTTTTAAGGAAAAAAAGCCATTTAACTGGCTGTAAATAAGCTGTAAGGAGGTGGTTAAACGAAACAGCTGAATTTTGATTTCTTCGAAGTTTTGAAGATTAGAAATCAAAAGTAAATGTATTTATCAGTTTATTTTATATGGAAAACCGACTCAGTGCCAAAGTCTTTCCTTGGAAATAGTTCGGAAAGATTTTAAAAGAGAAAAGAGCCTTACGAAGGTGCATTTCTGTGAATCTGCCTTTTTTTTGCACTTAAAACATTTCTATAGAACAGTGAGAAGGAACTCGAAAAGTTGATTTTATTAATGTAGATTAGGTCCAAAAATGCTTTATTCGAAAAGCGCATCATTAAAATCTTATAAAAGAGCGATTTTTATTTGATGCATTTAATATATTTTAAAAGATTTATTCGTTTCTTGTCCGTTTTTTCTCTTTAATTGTCATATTTTACGGAAATACTAACAGTCGAGTTTAGCTCAGTGGTTAGAGTGCCATCACAGACTGCTAATCTGTAAAACGTAGGTTCAATTCCTACATCTGCCGTATTACTCTTTTTTTCTTTCTTTTCTGTTGAAGGTTTACTTGCCATTTTTAAACCATTTACTGACAGTTAACTGGCTAAAAACGCCCTAAAAACCGTCTATTTTACGTAGACCGCCAGTAAACCGTCTTTTAATGGTGAAGCTTTTGGTGAAAATTCGATATATGAGAACGCGGTTTACCGGCAGTTGAAAAACCACCTATTTACGGTGGTAAAACCATACCATCCAAACCCACCTAAAAACTGTCTGAACGGTCTAAAAACAGTCAGTAAACTGCCTGTCAACTGACAATTAGCCGAAAGTTAACTGGCAGTTAACTTGGCAGTTCAATGTCCTGGGTTCTTTCTTCTCATAAGAGAAGTGCTAAAGCAGTACCGTATGATTATGCATGGCAATGTGGGATTGATATCTATCAGGACCGCATTCAGATTAATACAAAATTAAGTAAAAGCAACTGTAATAAAAAACTAATTACTAACCAGATAACTTTCACTGATTCAAATCGGCCAGTATCGCAGTTTTTTGGCAGAAATACAGCGCTGGCTGGCACGTGTGTCAATCAGCACTGGTTGGGTACGAGTTTGTACCAGTGGTAATAACTGGTGGCAGATCGCGCTGAAATTTTTTTGACATTATGCCTAAGTTACTCTGAATTTAAAATATTGGACGTATGGCTTTTTTACGCCAAATAAAATAGTTCTAATTTTTATTTTGTTTTTCAGTGTCTTACATTGTTTCTTATTCGTGTCATTGGAAGTCGTGTATCATTTTATAAGGCTACATTAAATGAAAATTTAATTATTAATGTTGTATTTAAAAACGATGATCCGAGCGAAGTGACACCCGTCTTAAGATATGCACCACCAAATCTGTCAAAGTCTCCATCAAGATTATTTCCATGGTCGCTCGATCTTGTTGATGCAGAAAATTGAATACACATGATGGAAATGCTAGATAAAATACAACAAATTCTCATCGAAAAATAAACAACAAAAACAGAAACACGAAAAGAAAGCCTAAATGTAATCTGGAAAATTGTTTCTCTTTGTCGAATTTTGTTAAATTCCAGTGTTTTTCTTCTGTAATTTTTTTTGCTGTGTTGTTTGTTTAATTACAGAAAAAGTTGGCTAACAGTTGATGGAGGAGGAGTCAGTTCAAAACACTGGGCCCAGAGAAATCATATTTCACATGTTTTTTGGAAAGAAAACAACTCGAGGCTGTTGTCTACCTTTCCTACCACTAAATCTACATGATCTGATCTTCCCACATCTGTATTGATCTAAGGCGTTGTTATGGCGGTTAGATGTTGATAGACATCGATTCAGTATTACAAAAATGTTGATACCAAAATGAAGTTGAATAAAATGAAAGAAAACTTTATCCCTCAGGTTTTTGACAGGCGACAAGGATATTTTTTTGACGCTTCTCTCGTTTGAGATTTTTGCTCACTTCATCATTATTATCTTGTGTAGTGCCTAGTTTTTGACTTTTCAAAAAATATTCTTGGTAGAAATAATTCAAAATCGCGGAATATCTCATCACCCAATTTTCTTGATAGATTTATATTAGATTACGACCTTTCCGAGTCAAATCAGACAAATTCACAATAATATGAAGAATATAACTAAAACAAAGTTAAACATCATCTTTATACACATAGGATTTATCAAAAGTAAATAATAACGTACATAATAATTAATAATAACGATAATAACGTCAGATGAAAGCTGAAATTACATCAATATTTTATTTCATCATTCTCACAAAAATCACATAAGACAAAAGTAGAAAAAACATTAGGTATCATTATATAAGATATTCCGTGTTTTAAACAGAAAACAAAATTGAAAATGACAGTATTTTCTTTGATTTAAGCTTTGTTCTTCCACGGTCTAAGTGGAAATGAATCCGTTACAATATTCTAAAATTTAAACTATCGAAAAACACAAAATCGATTATTGTGATGATCGATTGTGACTGTAACACATGAATTCATGTTTACAATAAACTGCAAAACTAAATTCACTGGTGATAATCTATATGTTGTACAACAGTTGAAATTGTCCAATCAATTCAATACTTTCCAATGATTAATTTTTGGATTTCAAATGTATCTTCTTTTTGTTTTACTGCCATGCCAATGTGGAAAATGTAGCACGGAAAAGGAGATAAATAGAATTTGAATTAAGTATATTCGAAAAAATAAGATAGAAAATGACTAGCACTCAGACGCAAAAAATGTCGCTCTTTCATAGTTACACAATGTACAGTTTACAAAAAAAGAGGTTAAGAAAACTTTAAGAAAAATGAGAATAAAGATGAAGGAAAAAAACGCTTATAAAACTGTCATTATTGTAATGAGGCATCCACCGACCTCTATCCTCGAATCTAACTCAAAATTATACCAAAATGTTCGTCAACATATGCTTCATTTGCGGTGAATGCGCTTTTATGCATTTTTTCTTCTGAGTCTACAAACAGGTTTTCCAAAAAAACCCTTGATTGTTTAGATAAAGCCTACTTTTAGCATTCCAGACACACTTTTGTTGAAAACTAATCACATATTTGGAATCAGCGCATAAAACTGCATCGAATGATGTACAGGTTTATTAATTTACAGACAAAAAGTGTTTGATCCAGTATAATACGACGATTTTTCCATATAAACACAGCAAATTTCGTTTGGCACGTGGACATATGCCATAAAAGTGATACGAAAGCCTCTAAGCACTTTTTTTTATAGGTTTTCATATGTCCTCTGTCCAGCGGCATGACGGACAGGATTTCCAGAGATCCGGTCTCTAGAGAATTAGTAGAAACATACTTTCAAAGTTTGGAAACCATGCTATTGGAAAGAGAGCATACGAAAATCTATAAATAAAGTACCTAGAGGCTTTCATGCCGTACTTACGACTCATGTCCGTGTGCCCCAGCCAAAGTTGCCCACTGTGGCTTCGGTGTCTGTCATTACGCTCATTTTATTGCGATGTATAAAAAGAATGAGATCATATCTTCTTGGAAGAAGCATCATCATTTACACCGACCATTGTTTATTATGCAAATGATGACAGAAGTAGTAAAAAACAAACGTGTTGATCGACTTTCAACCCTTCTTCCGGAGTTCAACATCGAGGAAGTCATACACATCAAGGGCGGGTGAAACTGCCTTTCCGCTTATCTATCAAGAATTCCAAAACAATATGATGATGATGATGATGATGACTTATTTAATCAAGATTTTGGATTTGATTCACAGATTTGCCATTAAAAAGAAAGTAGTTTAATCTTCCTTTTAACTTTTTTGAGTCCTAAAGTCTTATGTGAAGCGCTTATTTCAGTCTTAATTCTTCTGGAACAATCTTAATTAGCGTTAGTTAGCGTTTTTAAATGTTGTCGGAGTCATTTTAGATCCTACTGCCCATTTTTTCTGTTGACAGTTAACGGTTAAACCATGTTGAAGTTATGTACTAGTAACAGTTGTCATTGACTAGATAACTTCCATCAGATATGTTATATCAGGGATCAAAGTACTAATTTTTTAGGTAAAACACAAAACTATTTAGATGTACAGGGCACAATTTGTTGTGTGTGACAAAAATTCAAATATAGGACTGTCTCACTTGTGGGATTGGTTTGTGACTCAATCTCTTAAATTGCTCCTATGTATGAGTTTTTTTATCGTTTACAAGAAAATTTTTCTTGTTGTACATGTTGTTGATGATGACAGTGCCGAAAGACAGCTTATTTTTTTTGGTCCATAAAAATTGGAAAACAATGTTAGATAAGATTACAACGCTTCTCTCTCTCTCTCGCTCTCTCTGTCACTTGTGTGGAACGCAATCTTTTTGTAAGGATTACATCATGTATGCAATTTATCATTATTTAACTGTGTTGAAAATAAGTAGAAGAGAAACTGATGGATATGCGTATCAAGTTTAAGGGCTAAATATAGATAATTCAATTTACACACACTGATATAGTTTAACTTGCTATCAGAAGGAAAATATGACATACCATTTATAAGAATAATTATTTACGACGAAAGCAGGAGTTTATCTTCTTCTTCTCACATTAGACAGATAATTTTTTCCCTACGAAGAAGAAATTGTATATTATGAATGAAATCTGCTGTTTTTTACCGATTATATTACACACACATATATATATTAGAGCACAGTAGTAATTTATCAACATAATAAAGATATTTTCTTCTTTATAAATTCTTCCATCGATCAAGGATACAATTATTAGTATTACTATTATTGTTATTATTTTACGAAGAGTGGCTGTGTCATTTGACAACTGGTAGACTATCCTTATAATATTTTTCGACAAGTAGAACTAATAATAATTTTTTTGAAAATATTCTCATTCATCTATAAATCATTTATGTCAAATATAATAAGTATAACATTTTGATATAGCTCATATTTAACTATTATCTTTGACTGTTGTTTGTGTATGTTTCTAGAATAGATTGTACTCTTAAAATTCTTATAGAGCAAATATATAAAACAGAAGTATTACTACTACTACTTGTTACTATACTTTGTACAGATATATTAACTTCTTTTCCGTTTATTTAACTAACCAGACAAGCCTGTTTAATAGATCAACAATTAGAAGTAAGTAAACATACGTTATTTTTCACCTGCTGTCTGTTTATATAACATTTTTCCATAATGAAATTAGTTCAGATTGATAAAGTTTGTCCATTTTCTTACGTGAACTTTAATGAAAAGTGATAACTGCAGGATGTAGTCTAAGGCCTAACTTTTCCCCAGTGAGACCAAAAGATTTCTTTGGAACAGCGACATGAACTGTATAGGTCAGAACTTATTTTTATAAATCGTTTAGCTATTTTTTCGCATCTTACAACTGTGCACAATTTCTCTCAGAAAATTAGCATGCGACTTGAAAATAAAAAGTATATAACGTTCAAAAGACAGAAAAAGCAAAAAAGGTTAGAATGACAATCTAAAATCATAGCAATACACATGATACTTCCGATAGGTACCGGTCAGTATGATTAAAGTGCGCTTAATCATTTGAATGACTCTCTCATCATAATTAATTTTTAAAATAGATATTAAACTAACGAGGGAACCTCGCCAAATATCCTCTCATTGTTTTCACGAAATATAGTAGGTTAGAGCTAATCGATCATGCTGATTTCGAATATGATATTCGTTTGGGCTCATAGGCCTTTTCTAGCCGATTTCTGGAAAACTGATTTTCTAGAAATCTCGAAAAATCGCCAGAACTTTTTATAATAAGTTATGATTGTAGCCCGTGAAAGTCTGATCAAGATGAGACATCTCCCAGCGCTACACGACCTTTCTTTGCAAAGTTATAGAGTTTACAAGAAAACCCCTAAATTCCTTTTTCCTTTTTCTTTCTGTAGCTGAAGTGACAATGAACATTCACAAAGAAAGGTTGTAGAGCTGGGAGATGTCTCATCTCGATCAGAAGTTCGCGGGCTACAATCTTAACTTATTTAAAAAAAGTTCTGGGGTTGTCGAACCTATAACCTACTACATTTCGTTAAAAAAACGAGGAAACGTTTGGTAAGGTTCCCTCGTGGGACTAAAATATGATGATCCCAAATACTCTTATTATTTTATTGTTTTTAGTTATCTCATGTTACTTTGTGAATTCGATCCTCTAGAAGTATTTGTTCTTGAGAATGCGCAAGTTTTTTTTTCTGCTTTCTCTATGAGATCATATTCTTTTCTTTAGTTTTTTTCTTTCTCTGTAGTACATAAAACTTTTCGCCACTGCACATCGTTTATTTGTTTGTTCCTTAATCCATATTTAATAGGTAATTCATTTTTCTCACTTGCGCGATACTCGCTAATTAGACGAAGAGAGGGAGTGAGTTAGTGAACACTAATATAAGATAATATGTACATATTAGAAGATATTAACAATA